ACTGAGGGCCAGGCATGCCCCAAACACAATGGCCCAGACATGTTGTTCCAGACATGTCCCAGACAGAAGTCCCAGACACGCTAAATGTAACTACCTAGCCCCGCTAAATGTAACTATCGAGGGCCAGACACGCCCCAAACACAATGTCCCAGACTTGTTGTTCCAGACATGTCCCACACAGATGTCCCAGACACGCTAAATGTAACTACCTAGCCCCCGCTAAATGTAACTACTGAGGGCCCCAAGAGACTATACAGGCCCCTAGACAAAGAGCCTACAGACAGACAGGGAGAGAGAGCACTTTTCTCTCCTAACTGGAGTTTTCTCTCAATGTCAGGAGCTCTGGCCCTTCTGTATTCGTTTCTGTAAATAAATCCTGTCTTCCCACTGATCTGTGGTCCGCGGATTCATTCCTTGAATCACTGAGACCAAGAACCTACTGAAGAGCAAAATTCCAGTATCATTAGGAGCCCATTTTTAAGTGTGGAGCACCTTAAATCACATCGTCTGTAACCCAGATACCATTTATTACCAAATTTCCCTTTTCTCTGGATCACTGGATAAATCTTCAATGTTGGAACCTTTGCTGTTTTCCTTTGATCTTCCCTAAGGAACAATCCAAGGACAGGAGACACCCATTATGTCTTTAACAACTACACATTTCTGCACCAGAATTATTTACCAAGGGCTCACAGTGTTCAGGGTCCTGCCGATAAAAACTTTATGGATATTATGTCAATCGCTCCTTATTTCTTCTTTGAGTCATTTGTCCCCAAATTGTGCCCCTTCCCACAGGACTGAGGAAAGGTCAGCAGTTAGGCAAATAATACACACTTCTGCTTCATGAGAGAACTTCCAGCCTTATAGGGCCAGGTCTTCCCATCAGGAATAACTTAGAAGTATATCAAGTGTTTGGGGTAACGGTTTAAATAACTGAAAATATCTGTGCTAAGTTTCCTGGCCAAAGGACCCAAGAAGTGATCAAATTTCCCTTATCTTCCCTATTTCAAAATGACTTATTAAATCTGTGGCTTAGGTGGCACCTGTGGCTCAGTGAGTAGGGTGGCAGCCCCATATACTGAGGGTGGTGGGTTCAAACTTGGCCCCAGCCAAACTGTAACAACAAAAAGTAAAAGTCTTTAAAAAAACAAATCTGTGGCTTAAAGCAAGAGTCATGTTGCTGTCAGAATCCATTTAGGGTAAAGAATATATGATATATATGGAAGCATCGGCCTGATTTACATGTCTGTGATGTATTTCTCTTGGCAGTTTTCTTCTCCCTGACTTACCTGTTCTCTTACCTGTAAAGTGGGGGTAATGATGTATCTACCTCCCCTGGTTAAGATCTAGTGCATCTGAATGGTATGAAAGTAGTATATGTCTATATGTGTGTGTGTACAGTACATGTGTACACATAAATGTAGACATATACTATACCCATATGCACATGTATACATATATGTACCCACACATATTTTACAGTATGTATACAAGCATATATACCATGTTTCCCTGAAAATAAGACCTACCCAAAAAATAAGCCCTAGCAGGATTTCTATGCATTTGTTAAATATAAGCCCTACCCCATAATAAGACCTAGTGATGGGCGTGGCTATGCAGCATATCTGCATAGCCACACCCTGCATTTCGGCTTGGAGCCTAAGGAAGACTGGAATACCTTTTATCTGCCAAGGCTCCTTTCTCTGAGCAAGTGTTAGAACTTGCGCAGGTGCATGTGGTAACCGGGTCACAGGCATCCTATTGCGTACATGTGAAGGGCTAGGGGAAAGGAGTTCACACATCACTAGCGCCAGCCCCACCAACAAGGTCAGCTCCCCCTGTCAGGTTCCAGAAGATGACTTAACCGTATTTGAATAAATGTCGATTATTGTATTATACTTAATAAAAATAAGACATCCCCTGAAAATAAGCCCTAGTGTGTCTTCTTGAGAAAAAAATAAATATAAGACAGTGTCTTCTTTGGGGGGCAACACGGTAATAAAGCACAATATAAGCACCAATTATATTTTGGTGGCCCTAGAAACATGTTTTTCACATGTACCAAACTAGTTAAAGAGAGAATGATCCTGGGCGGCGCCTGTGGCTCAAAGGAGTAGGGCGCTGGCCCCATATGCTGGAGGTGGTGGGTTCAAACTCAGCTCTGGCCAAAAACTGCATTAAAAAAAAAAAGATCCTGGCTCGGCGCCTATAGCTCAACCAGCTAAGGCGCCAGCCACGTACACCTAAGGTGGCGGGTTCGAATCCCCAGCCCGGACCTGCCAAACAACAATGATGGCTGCAACCAAAAAATAGCCGGGCGTTGTGGCGGGCGCCTGTGGTCCCAGCTACTTGGGAGGCAGAGGCAGGAGACTCGCTTGAGCCCAGGAGTTGGAGGTTGCTGTGAGCGGGATGCCATGGCACTCTACCCAGGGGGACAGCTTGAGGCTCTGTCTCAAAAAAAAAAAAAAAAAAAAGATCCTTTTCTCTAGGTGGGAATCATGTCTGATTCATGTCTGGTATTACTTTCTGTGGATGTACCTTCTTTCCATCTAGGAAATGTCACCACTTTTTTTTACACTAACAGGAACCCCAAGTTTAGCAATGTCTATGGTTGTGAAGAACAAAGACATTTCCATGCCTCCCTTAAAGCTGATATGACTTTGTGACTTAGTTCCGGCCGATGGGATGCAAGAAACAACATCTGTAAGGCTGCATCACGCCCCTTCACTTCACCCTCATCCTGCTCACCAGGGGGACTGTAGATATATTTTGAGGCATCTTGGACCATGAAAACTAGGGGGAAAAAAACCTAAAAATGGGGAAGCAATGAGATAGACAGATCTTGTATTCCTGAGACTCTCAAGGAACAGAGCTTATGGATCCTCATTTTTCAAGAGAGAATAAATATGGTTTATAACACCTCTAGGACTCCATCATGCAACCCGTATCCTAGGTAACACACTGATTATGATCAATAAAAAGAGCAGACATTTAAGGAGACTACCTTATGTTGCGTATGAAAAGCACATTTGCATAAAATGAGAAGAGAGAATGGTGTATGGCATGTTATGTG